TCCCCAGTCCTGTGCTCTCTTCAGATGCAAGTGCCCCTTGGTTAGACAGGCTGAGTGTGTGTGGGGGGGAGGAGGGGTGTCATACAACCTATCAAATTGTTGCCCTTGACACTGCATCATGTGGCCCAAGAAAAGCCCAGCAATTTCCAGCATTTCCTGAGGGTTCACCGTGTGTCTGAGCATTTAATGTTGTCAATGCAGCAACCGTGCAAAAGGAACAACTGCCAGTTCTGTTTCTCGATGCACCATAGACCACACAAGAAATGCAGTGCTGAGAATAAGAGTGTGGGCTTTAAGGACGGAGCCCCTCCATCCAAAATCGAGCCCCTCCTTTTCCCAAGTCCATTACCTTAAGTCGTTTATTTTACTTGTCAGAGCCTCCATTTACCCCTCCCTAAAATGGGTATAACCTGGCACGTAGAATTATGAGGACTAACTGGAATAATCCATGCAAGTCATTTTCAATCATATGCCTGGCAGTGAGTGCATTCTCAGTAACTAGTCACGGTTAATTCTATCACTATCATTACTGCCGTATTACTAGTTCCGTTATTTTTTGACTCTGAATGGGGGGGGGGTTCCAGAGTTCATCCATGTTGGGGTTCTCCGCAAGCTATCCTTTTCTCCCTTCCAACAACAGGTTAATGGAGCCGCTGGTGATCAAAGCTAAAAGGTGATCAGTGAGCACCTAGTGCACCACCATTCGGTAAGTCCTTTCCTCCCTCTGAGCCTCAGTTTCCCCATCTGTAAGACGGGGTAATAGCTTCCACTTCATGGGATTACTGAAATGGCCAAAGCTCTGAGAAGACTGCCGGGCACCAGGTAAGCACTAAGTGAATGTTCGCTGCTGTTACCATCTAGGGAAAACAGAGGCCAAAAAGAAGGAACTAGGCTTTTATAGGGCCACCCAACTGGGACTGGCTTGGTCACTGTGAAATCTGAGTCCCTCATGCTCCCAGTGTCCCCACCTCACCCTCCAAGGCACCAACTGCTATAAGCTCTATCTTGTAGTGTCGGCCACTCAGGGGCATACATTTTTTAAATTATATATAATTATTTACATCCCAGAGCAGCCATTCCAGCTTAATGAATGAATTCAATATGCTCCCAAAATGCAGAATAAATCCTTGCCTGTGGCCCAGAATAGGCCCGACTGCACCAGCTGTCAAGCAGGGAGCCCAGCTACCAGATGGGCCAGAGCAAGGGTGCACAGCCTCTGGCTGCGTGAAGGCACTGGGGTGGGACAGGGCCAAGGAGGGGGCAGGCCTCAGGGGTGCAGGGCTCAAGGACAGAGCAGTGAAAGTCCCAGGATGCCAGGCTACATGGTAATCCTCTCTTAATCACAGCCTCCCTTTGGAACAGCACCAGCACAAGGGCCCTTGGGATGGTACCTTGCAGAGAGGAAAACAGGCACCAGGCATTACATCAAGGAAGAGGCCTGGGGCCAGCAGCACAGCAGTGAAAATGCAATGCCCCGCGAGGCCCTCCCACAGGCCCTCCCCAGTTTAAGTCCAGAGACCTCTCTAAGTACACCACGCATCTTATAGCTCCAGAATACAGGGCCCAGGGAGGACTAAAGACCAGTCCAAGCTGGCCTCCCCTCCTTGGCTTCACTGGAGAGAACTCCCCTAGACAGTGCACATGGTTCTCATTAATAAGAATAACAAGAATAGCAAGAACGACAGAGCTCAAATATCCAAAACATTTTAAAAATAATTTGCCAGAGGGTACATGCATTCACCAGTGAGAGACAGAGAGAGAGGGAAAGTGAGAAAGCAACTCCCATTGGAAACGGTTGCATCGCAATCCCTTTTCCATCTGCTCCTCTGTTTGGGATTTTGGGCACACATGGATGCACACACACCTGGTGTATTTTTCAAACCACGAGGTCTGAGACTCCAACTGTGTGGCCAGCCGTGTGGGATCTAGTCACCTTAACTCCACACTGTGGGTTGGCCCTCTAATTAAATCATGCAAGCCTCTCAAGAATGCTAGGAGCTAGGCACCATTATTGTCCCGTTTCATAGAGAATGTTCAGGCTCGGAGGTCCAAGGAGGCACCGAGGTCACTCAGTTGACGAAACAGGGTTGAACACAGGTCGGCCAGCCCCAGAGCCCACAGCTTCAGCCTGGATTCTGAGCCTTCCTGCAGTCTGCTTAGCGGGACGACCTTGCAAACGGAGGACTAGGTGGAAGCTGGAGGATGGCTCGAGACTGGACAGAGCTGAGCGGGAGCTTGTAGAAGAGATGATGGGGGTGTGGGTGCCTACAAGTCACCCAACAGCTTAGCCAGCAGGGCAGCCTCATGCAGGAGGAGCTTCAGAGGCAGACGGCACTGGGTCCTAACCTTGGCTCCACCTCGTGATCCTGTGTGGCTTTGATAAGGCTGCATAGCCTCTCTGAGCCTCAGCGTCCTGGACCACAGAATGGTGATTCCTTCCCTGTTGTCAGAATTAAAAGAGAGAACCCACGGAAAGTGACCCCCGGCTGTGGGCAGAGGAAGAGAACAGACAGGCTCTGGGAGGATTCCATTAGTAGATACCGTTCCTGGGAAGAGACCACGTCTGATTTTAAGCTCATATAGCCAAGAGGCTCCAAGACAGAGGAACTTCTGTGAAGAGGGCACAGAGTTCATCTTTGATGTGTTCTTTTACAGGAAGAGGGTCCTTGGGGTATATCAGAGGATAGCAGAGGCCACTGGTAATAAAGGCAGAGGGCAAGCCCCCAAGGGCACACCCTCTCTCCACTGCCATAGGGAGTGGAGAAGCACAGGCTGTAGAACTCCTCAACCTGCAGCAGCGTAATGTCCACCAGCCACCTCTTCCGTGCTTGGCCCCACGCTAGAGCCCTCAGCATGGGGCATTTCAGTCCATCTGCACAGCAGCCCTGCGATGTTACTACTCTTCTCTACACCATTTTACAGGCAAGAAAACTGAGCCTCAGGGAGCTTCAATTATTTGCTCAAGGTCACTGTGGCAAAACATGGCCATACCACTATTGCTCATCCCACATGTCCAGGAACCTTGCTGCACCCCCATGGAGGAAGAGAGTCTGGTCCTCCTCACCCTTGAAGCCGTGACACACTCAAAGTCAATCAAATGTGGCAGATGGGACACAGCCCAGATGCAGTTTCCATCTCACTCACTGGAAACTTGCCCTGGGACCTCTATAGCTGCCATGTCATGAGGAAGCTCAACCAACCTCACACAGAGACCTGAGACTGCATGAAGAGAGAAAAATGCCCCACTCTCCAACTTCCCACTGGTGCAACATTGGCCACCACTTGACTGCAGTCACATGAAAGACCCCAAGCTAGAACCACCCAGCTGAGCCCTTCCAAACTGTAGATGTACAGAAGCCTTGGGAAATAATATAAGTGATTATTGTGTAAGCCATGGCATCGGGAGCTGATTTCTTACACAGCACGGCAACTTAACAACCACACACCCAGCAAGTGCTGGAATCCTCACTCCAGTTTGAGCCCAGGATTGTGTTGATCCAGATAGTATTCCAACCACCATGCTATTCTGTCCTTGGCCCTCAAGATCATCTGCTAAGCTGAAGTAAGAGTACTAGACCAAGAGCTGGAGTCTGGTTTTGAACCTGCCACTTATTAGCAGAGACATTTCACCGTGTGTCCTTAGACAAAGAGCTACATTGCTTAGGGGTTCAGGTTTATCCACCCAGTCCACTGAGCCTACCTCAGGGGCAGGCTTTAGTGCCAACAGAGAGAATGGATAACAAAAGAGTTTTATAAAGAGAGGAGAAGCAGTGCTTATTGAAAACCTCCTACATACAAGTGTTGTATCCTCATTACCTGACTATAGAAAGACTGTAGGGGTAGAAGGGGTGGTATCATCTTACAGCCAAGGAATCTGAGGCTCAGAGAGGTGAGAAGTCACCTACCTGGCGTGAATCATACAGCCAGGGGATCGGGAAGCCTGGCATAGAATCAGCTCTTTCCAATCCCAGAGCTCCAGCTCACTCCTCCTTCCCACTCTCCCTTATCAAGGAAGCTCGAGAGAGCATCCATCTGTTGAAACACACAAGCACCAGCTCATTGTTCCACGGGCCTTGTGTTGCCAAAGGGATGAGCCGTTTCACAATGGCTCCAGGCCTTGAGCCTTGCTGAACAGCAAGCCAGGTGGAATGCCAAACCACCTGGTGTTTTTGGCCTGGTTTGTGATGCCAGCCCTCAAAGCCCCCTCCTTCAGCCTTCCCAAGGGGCCTGTCATCCATAGTAAGCCTATGAGACAGGAAGGGGTGTGGATATCATGCAGAGGGAGGGGGAACACAGCTCCTTCACCACCACGATGGCAGGTTTCCTAAGATCCCAAGGCCAGCTGCACATGGCCCCTCTAAACAAGTCTCATTAGAATGAACCAACTAAGTCCAGGACCTACCTGGACAGCCAGTGGGAAGTGGCCCAGAGTCAGCAGGTGGGGGTGCCCACAGGAGCATAATTGTGTCGTTTGTCCACCTGTCCTTCTGCCTAGCCCCTCTTCTCTCCTGCCAATGTGATTGAGTACAAACCCACTCCCCCACCCCCATACCCTTTATCTCATTTCTATCCCACAGCGACCCCTCCCTCCTTGAAGAGCTGCTCAGAAGATGAATCAGTCAACAGGTATTTATTGAACATGTACTAGGCACCAGCCCCTGGGCTGGGCCGTAGGGGCGCAGTGATGAACAGAATCAGATAGAGTCCTTGCACTTGCATGGTTGTAGCCCAGTGGGGGAGACGGACGGATGTGAATCAGTAATCAATCATCCCACGTGAAAGAGAGGGATGACCAGGCACACAGCACAGCCCTCTTAGTATACAGAACAGGAAACAGACCTTGTCCAGGGGGATCAGGGAGGCTTTGGGAAGGGAGAGGGGCTGCAGGGGGAGCGAATCACCAATGGCCAATGATGTAATCCAGTCATGACTACCTAAGAAAGCTTCCATGGGAACCCCTGTGATTACTCAGCACAGGGACTCCAGCAAAACAGTAACAGCCCGAAATTCACCCTGGACTGTACCAGCTGTGTGACGCCAGGTGAGTCACGTGCCTTCTCTGAGCCTCCCTTTGGTTGTCTAAGAAATGCACGGGGATGAAAGTAAGAAGTCCTCACCTTGAGCCACGTCCCCTGTCCCATACATGCTGGCATTGACTCACGGAATCCTCACAACGAGCCTATAAAACAGGCTCATCATCAGTCTTATTTTACAGAGGAGGAAACTGAAGCTCAGAGAGGCCAAGCCAGGATTCCCTGGACTTGCTGACAGCATTCCTTCTCCATAGTGGGTTGTTGCATGCATCTAATCAAAAGGCGTGATAGAGGAATGGGTGCCATTGAAACTGTCGAACATTAAACCAATATTAGCAGCGTTATTGTTATTGCTGTAACTGTTCAAAACCTCAGCTCCTCTTAGAAGACCTGAAATCTCCCTACAGGGACTGATATTGGTTTTTAAAAATAGGATTGGGGCTCTCAAAATAAGTTAGGAAGGAGGAGAGGATCATTTTAATGAAAAAAAAAAAAAAGAAGAAAAAAAACCCTGATTAATGGAAATGATTCTTAATATATTTCAAAATGATCTGTTATGACACAAAGCCAAGACATTTATATACGACTCTGAAATTCTTAATAGCTGATTTTAGAGCAACCTATTATGAAAGATTCCAAAGCAGAATATATAGTAAGTAAATCATCGGGCAGGCCTCCCAGGCAGACTGACGGCAGCTCTTCTTAAAATAATTTATAAGGTGGGCTCGGGGGGAGGACTGGGAGAAATTATTGCCATAATCATGTATTAATGAAATATTTATAAAAGTGACTTTCGCTTTTATTATCACAGGCATTCACATGTAGGGGGTCAGGTCCCTGAGTCCACCTAGGAGGGGCGACCCTTTATCTTGGGGAAGAATCAAACTGAGCTCCTTCACTGCTCTGGCAACAGGTCAACAGGCCAGTCTCTGTTTTGCAAAGATGGAGGCAGAGAGGGTACAAGTGTGAGCATGAAAACCAGAAGGTGGGCCCCAGACATAGGCAGGGCTTGCTATTTTCTCAGGCTTTGCAGAGCATCTCAAGGGAGCAATCTCCTTTGACCAGTGCCCAGCCTCGAGGCAGCCGGTTCTGCAATCCTGAGAAAGTCTCCTAACCCTGGCTCAGCAGCATGCACTATTGGAGCTGCCTTCTGCTGAGCGACTGACACCACTGAGGCCCTGCCCTGACTCCCTGCCTGCCCATACCTGCCGTAGGCGCCCCACTGCAGGCACCTCTCTCTCTGCCCCTCTGCCTTCTCTGGCTTTAAGAGCAGGCTTAACCCCATATATGGGGGCCGGCTGGAAGCACAAGGAGCTTTCCCCACCCCCAGGAGCAACCCTAACCAGGCAGAAGCAGGAGGGAGTGGATAAATGCCCTGGCTTCCTTACCTCTCAGAGTCTCTCCAGGGTCCCCAGTAAGGCCGAGTCTCAATTCCCTGGAGGTCACATGCACCCTGTATTACCTGCTTCTCTTCTCCATTCTCCTGCCATTGCCTTTAGGGATCCCCTGTTCTATAAGCTACATGCCCCCATATCTTTGTCTCAGGGTCTGCTTCTGGGAGGACCAGCCTAATTCAGCTTCCTCCTCTTTATTCCATTAATCTTCCCATCAGCCCTTCTCTTGGTACATCGAAAGGAAAAGACAAAGCTCAGAGAAATTCCATTTTGGGGCAGCTCAATCAATGGTCCTGTGGTGATGTGCTGCTTATGTGATGCTGCGTCCATATGGAAGGTTGTGGGTTCAGTTCTCTGGTCAACCTGTATGTACCAGTCATTCTTGCCCATGGTCCTGGCTGGCTGGGAACACTGGGAGGAGATCACAGCATGAGACCCTGTTAAAGGTGCTTGTCTTTCTCTCTCTCTCTTTCAAAAGAAACTTTAAAAAATAAAGTTCTTTTTTTTTTTTTTAAAGAATTAGTTTATTTAACTTTATTTATTTATTTATTTATTTAAATTTGACCAGAGAGGGACAGAGTGAAAGAGAGAGAGAGAGAGGGAAAGTGAGAAAGCAAGCCGCCAGGTCCAGGACTCGAGTCACAGTCAGCCATGTGGCAGTCCAATACCCTTAACCACCACGCCATCTGCTGGCCCAAAAATAAAGTTCTGTTTTGAACCCATGTCTACCTCATTCAAGAGCCCCACACCCTACTGCTTATGGCGCTAGATCTTCCGAGCCTTGGTTTTCCATTCTGCAGAATAGGTCTGCTTCCTTCCACACATCCCTAACCCAGAGCTCTTCGTGCTCCACCTTTGAACCTTCTCAGCTCTCCTGGTCTGAACTCTGCATCACATCCCCAATGCTGGATGAGAGTTTCAAGTTTAAAAGTCTCGTCTCACCAAATAAATGACAAATGCGTGAGAAGGGACAGAATCACCACAGCCTCTCATATCCCTCCCTCTTCCCAGCACAGGTTTGGGTGCAAAGCCAATCCTGACCCATCTCAGAGATTGGGTGGCTGTTGTGAACAGATTAAATGAGGCCCAGCTTGGTGGTGCCAACGGTAGCAAACAGAACTGAGTGCTGGAAGCCATGTAACGAACCAGGGGTTCAGATCCTTGGGACAGCCTGAAAACATGTATGATGCACGGGTAGGTGCCCAAGATCCTAACTGGCTGGAGAGCTCAGAAAGGGGACTAAGGGGTGACAGGGCCTTGTTGAGGGCACGCACTCTCTCTCGCTCTCTCTCTCTGCAAGCAGGCATGCATGCCCAAGATCTCAGGAGGAGAATGGAAGAGAAGGGACTGCAGCACGGTCATGCCCTCTGGGGAATGATTTCTCACTTTCTGTCTCTCCAGCGAGTGCTCACGCCCTAGAGCAAAAATCCCTCTCTCTAAAATAAAAAATTAAAAACGAGCCGATTCGGTAACTCAAAGTCACACAGTAAGATGGGGTAGAGCTGGGTTCCTGACATCTTCTCCCTGGTTTGTCAGGGTCTGAGAAAGACAGAGGCTTCTTCCCAGAGCATGACTAAACAGCTAAGTAGTTCGGAGGCGCAGAGCCATAGTGCCACAATCTCCCACGGGGTGAGCAAACTTTTTCTGCAGAAGGCCATCTAGTCATTTCAGGCCATGCAGTCCCGCAATCCCTGTCTCCACTACCCGAGGCTGTCATTGTAGAGTGGAAACAGCCATGACACGGAAACAAATGGGCAGGGCTGTGCTCCAGGAAGACTTTAATTGCAAACACTATCATTTGAATACCATGTCATTTTCATGTGTCCTGAGATATTATTCTGGTATATGTTCTTTGTCATTCCATCGAGACATAATTGCAGTTCTTAGTTTGCAGACGGTGTGGAAACAGGCAGCAAGTTGGAGTCAACCCATAAGCCATCAACTGCTGACTGACGATGCAGGCAGTCACCGGTAGAGGTAGGGTTCTTTTCTTTTCTTTTCTTTTTTTTAGAGAGAGATTTTTGTTATAGGACGCGTGCGCTCACCAGAGAGACAGAGAGACAGAAAGTGAGCAATCACCCCCCAGGGGGGATGGCTGTGCTGCAGTCCCTTCTCTCCCATTCTTTCTGTTGGGATTTTGGGTATCCATGCACATGCGCCCGGTGTGAGTTTTAAGCTGCTGTGTGTGGGGCTCCAACCACAGCTGACTACCTGGAAATCCAGTGACATAACCTTATCCCATCTGCTGGTCATTCTTTTCTTTTCTTTTTTTTTTTTTTTTTAAATTAAGGTTTTTGCCAAAAGGTGTGTGCAATTGCTGGAGAGAAATGGAGAAAGATAGTGAGGAAAAGTGAGAAATCATTTCCGAGGGGGGATGGTCACACTGTAATCCTTCTTCTCCTGAGGTTTTGGGCATGCATACACATGCACTGGCATAATTTTCAAGTCAACGGGTCTGGGACTTGAACCAAAGTTGTCTGAGTGGAAGTCCACCACCTGCTGGCCCTGTAGAGGTGGGGGTTTCTAACCAGTGATTGGTTCTGCAGGATAAGAAATGCATCCTAAGGGCAAAAATGCATTGCTCAAGAGAAGCTGGATCCCACATGACAACCGCAATTCAAATCCGCAGCTCCATCAACCTGAAACACCCTGGGCACATGTGCAAGTGCCCGAGATTCAGAAGGCTGGAGGGCTGGAGGGCTGGAGGGACTGCCGCATGACTAGACGCTGTGAAGGGTGCCTCTCTTTCTCCCGCTCGCCTGAGCACTCTCTCTCTCTCTCTCTCATGCAAGCACATACTCTATCATAAATGAAGAAAAAAGTTTTAATAAAAATGTTTTTTCAAATGTACCCCAGGCCGAGACTGAACTATCTTCCTATATTCTAATATGCATGACCCAAGTGGCCGTGGTGACCAGGAGGATGAGCGAGACACATCGCAACCGCCTGAGCAAGACGGTAGTGAAGCCTAAACAGCTGAGCTGCCAGTCATGGTCCATGTGACTTGTGGAAACACGAGTGGCATTTGTTGTTACTACATTTGCCCCGCCTAGCACACCTGTCCTCAGCTGGGACCAGCTGTGCTCCACTTAGCATGACTTCTAGAAATTTCCAAAATATAATCGGTTAGTATGAGAAGACCTCAGGAGGTTCATGGAAAATGGAAACTAAAATACAAGTTTATTTTGATGCACCAAAAAAAAAAAAAGGAAAAAATAAAAATTAAAATCTATGCATAATTTTCATCATATACATTTTCCAGGAACTTTATGAAGACCCCTGGTACATGTGGCTCACATGGCTCAAAAGTGACAAGGCCTGTGAACCTGGGAATGGAGGAAATGACATGTTGTCACCTTTTCAGCGTCTGCCAGCCCCCAGCGGGACAGTCCAGAACATCAACCTCAGTTTTAGGACGGAATGCAATTTGCACATACGTTCACTTCACAAGCAAGTTCCAGCTCTACGTTCTGGGCCCAGAGGAAGCCACTCCCTACCAGGATGAGCGAGAGAAGGACACAGCCACAATACAAAGCGTTATACATTTCAGGATGACAGGGCCCACCCTGTTCTTGATCCACCTCCCCTTCTCCCCAGAACCTACAGAGTTCCAGAAGACAGAGCAGAAGAGACCAGCTCTACAGTGAAGGACTGTGAATGCCAATCCAAGGTAGGGAAGGTAAGGGAGAGCCTCAGGATGACCCCAAGCAGAAGAATGGCACAGTAGCTCTATGTCATTGTAAGGAACCAACTGGTCCTAAAGAACATGATGGGAGAAGATGTGACGATATCAACAGTCCAAGCCAAAAAAAATAAATAAATAAATAAGCCAACACCTAGTCTACAGTGATAACAGTGAGGATTGAAGAGCCAGGATAGAAATGATTACATGGGGCCTCTACGGGGCACCATGAATAAGGAAAGTGTGAGGATGAGAGGGTTGATTGGAGTCACTTGCAAGACCAGGTAGAAGTCGGGACAATCGGCAAACAGACAATTAAGGAGGGGACCAAGGCCGCAGGTTAGGTTTTCAGCATGCATAATGAGAAATATCTCCAGGGTTCTAGACGGAAACAGCACTTCATTGCTTAGAACCAACCTTCTCTTGCATATTCTTGAACTGCTCTGCCTAGGACAGTAACCATACCTACCTATGGCTACTTAAATTTAAGTTAATTCAAATTAAATACAACTGAAAATTTAATTCCTCCATCGCACTAGCTACATTTCGTGCTCAAGGCTGCAGGCGGCTAGAGGGCTATTATCCTGGACGGCACTGAGAGAGGCTCTCTCCATCGTTGTAGGAAGTTCTTTTGGACAGGGCTAGTCTAAGTTCGAAAAATCGAGTCCTGTCTCCTTCTTGCCATGCCTGTTTCGGCCACCTCCCCAAGAACGGTCCCAGAGGCATGGAAGATGACAGCTTGACCCTGTCTTCGCCTCGCCAAGAGAAGGGCCTCGTCAGGCACCTGCTGGAGGAGACACCTGGCAGCCCAGGTGAGCTCGGCAGGAAGGACGTACCTTTGCAGGCCCCCGCTGCGCCGAGGTGGTAGATGGCTGCCAGCACCCGCCAAATGGCTCGCCGCTCACTCTCCGAGATGCCCAGCGTCTCCATGGCACCCTGGAGCTGGGCAAAGGCAGCTGCTGCCTTCTGCTTGTCTTCGGGCTGAGAGCAAAGGGAGAGAGGGAAAAAGAGGCCGTCATGATGGAGAGAATTCAAACACGCGACATGAAGCCATGGTCCAGCTCAGGGGGATGTGTGATCGCTTCATCACAGCAGGAAATTACCCCCGGTGAGGCTGAGCAAGATTGTCACACAAACTCGGGCTTCTGGGAAAGTTATAAAAACCACGTCCATTTGACTTGGGAATACAGTGTGAGTTTTATTCATTCATGTGCTCATTGGCTACAGAAAATCACAACTGGGTTTCTTCTGCTCTGTGCTGGGCTCTGGTCTAAGGATACAACAAAACTCAGACCTTGACTTTGAGGCCCCCTCCAAGTAGAAGTGGAAAGAGACATAAAAGCAGCTAAGTGTGAAATAGCCTACGTGGACAGCCACAGATCTGCATGGGGAGCTGTGGGACGTCAGAGGAGGAAAGGGCTAATGAAACCCACTCAAGAGAGCCAAAGAGAAACTGTTGAAGGTGAGATCAAATTGCAACTGAAGTTGGAAAGGTAAATAGGCCAAGTTGACCAATTTAATGTAATAAAGGTTCTGACAGGCAGACGCCTCTGCCTGAGCAAAAGAGATTTGGATAAACAATAAGTGGTCAATTGAATGTGGACGTAGAAGCAGGTATTTCTGGGGATGGTTCAGGGGAGATGACAATGCTTGAGAAGCTGGCATGGGACAGCCTTGAAGGCCTGAAACACAATATTAAAGGGCACGAGCTTTAAACTCTAGTCACGATGAACAAATACTGATACTTTCCCCTGTTGACATTCCTGGACCCATGGCAGACATCACTAATCAATCAAGATCCTACAGCAAACCAGTGAGTCCAGATTTATTTCAGGACATCACCTTGTGCAACCACCACCAACTGATCCATCTCAGTAGCTGAAACAGTACTTGTTTTCCATTCCCAGTGTGGCAATGGGAAACTGCCAAAGATTTTTAATAGGAGGAAAGAGAAAATGACATGATCAGATGTTTATGGGTTGTAGTGGGTTTTTTTTTTTAAGATTTATGATCCCAATTATGTTTGATTGAATATTAAAATTAGCCTGAAACTCCTCTGCACACACCATCTGGCCAAGGAGACTCAGCCCAGAAGCCTGCTGGGTAGAGAGGAAGTGAGCCGGGGACAGGATTTCTTTTGTCGATAATCCACCTGCAGATAATCAAACCTGATTTGCACTTGGCCTGAAAACTCGGGTGATAAACCATAGCTGTGAAAGCTGGCAGGTCCCTGGATTCTGTAGATCCAGTGCCCAGAGAGAGACACCACTTGCCCAAGGTCACACAGCAAATGAACATCAGATACAAGACAAGACTCAGGCCTTTCGGACTCCTGTTCCAAGCCATTTGTTCCCTCCATTGAAGCCACCTTGACTAACTGGCGAAGTTGCAAGGATTATGAACCATTAGGGGCAAGGTCGAAGCCTGTAGTGACAATGAGAGATTCACCACGGAAACATTTCAATTAATAACGAAAGCGTGTTCAACTGACCCATCGTATTTCTGGGCCTCTACAGGACCACAGAATCCCTAGCAACCAGGAGCTCAACCTAGCAACTGCAGCTGCTCCGCCGGAGCAGGCGGAGAGAAGAAGGCGTCTTACCAACATGCTCTCGGTTATTTATGAGATTTCCGAGTAGCAGAGAAAGGACACCGGAAGGACAGTGACAACACATTCATTATGGCTCCCACTGTCAGCTACGAGCGTTTGACTTTAAATTACAGGCAAACTTAGCCACTTAGCTCATGTGAAGAGAAGAATGAGAGAACTTCTGCTCAAGCTTATTTGCATCTTTCCCTCTCTCCACCCCACACCCCATGTCTCTTTTGGAACAGATAACATAGGTCGATAAATATACAAGGTTCTGGAAAGTAACTAGGATCAGGAAGCTGTTTACAGTTCCATAAGGTTCTAGAGAGTCAGCCATTCTTAAAACACCTCTGCACAGGGGCTAGCTGGTGGCATAGGTAAGGTACTGGACTCTCATGTGGTTGGCCACAGTTAGAGTCCTGCACTCAGTGGCTTCAAACTCATGCTGGGTGTGTGTGTGTGCATGCCCCAAATCCTGAGAGGACAATGGAGGGTTGTTATGTGGCCATACCCCACCCCCTAGGGGTGATTTCCCAATTTCTGTCTCTCTCCCTCTGTCTCTCCAGCAAGTGCACGTACCCTATAGTAAAAATATCTCAAAATAAAAACAAAAACGCCTCTGTACAAAGTCCTGACCAAAGCCGTTCTTTGGATCAAAACTGTGAAAACAGAAGTCAAATAAATGAAGTAAAGCAACTCATAGTCCAGACGTCTGTCTACAGGAAACGGGATAAACTAAAGGGGTACACCCAGAGCACAGAGATGGAATACTACACGGCAATGAAAAGAACAAGTCACTGATACAGGCAACTGCATATGCGGATCTCAGGACTCAACGCTGAGTCAAAGAAGCCAGACACAACAGACTCCATACTGTGTGAATGCATTTCTGTGAAGCTCAGGAGTGAGCAAAACGAATGCTGGTGTCCTGTTGTCTGTCTGTCTGTTTGCTATAATGCACACATGCCTCCTGGAGAAAGACACACAAAGGAGGGGGGAGGGAACTGAGAAATCTCGCCCCAGGGTGGAGGGGGAACAACCTCACCCAAACCCCTTTCCCTCCATTCTCCTCTTGGAATTTTAGGCACACGCGTATACTCGCCTGGCGTGTTTTTCAAGCCACCAGGTCCAGGACTTGAACAGTGGAGTCGACCATGTGGGATCCAGCTGCCTTACCCACCACACCACTGGCTGTTTAACAAGACAGATATCACCGGGGGCTGGCTGGTGGCACAGTGGTAAAATGCGGCGTTCTGGGAGGCCGGCCTATGTGGGGAGGCTCTAGGTCCATGTCCGGATACCTCCCTGAGTATGCCAGGCCCGTGTGTGTCCGTGAGCCGGGCTAGGCTGCAGTAGATGATAACATCCAGGTTCTGTTGGGACTGTCTTGACTCTGTCTCTGTCTGTCCCCCAACCCCAGATTCTCTCACTCATGGAAGAAATAAGCAAATAACCTTTTAGAAAAAGAATATGAACATCACTGGGTTGTACACTGAAAATTAGGACACTTTATACACTTCACGATATGTTTTGCCTCAATTTAAAAAAAAAAAATCAGTGAAAAAAGTCAAATCACGAGATACCCAGGGTTTGGCTGAGGCGAAGTCTCAAGGTCAACCAAAGACTGCAGGTAATTTAGTGGAGGAAAAAACCCTAAAACATTCTCTCCACGTTAAACTGAGCTGAGTTTAGAGCACCCAGGAGGTTCCTGCGATGGCAGAGGCCGGGTTTGGATTCGAAGTGACACAACCGGCCTCTCGACTCCGCAGTCCCCGCCTGTGACTCCGCACAGAACTTCTGCCCCTGCTCGGAAGTTCGTTTTCCACGTCTTTACGATGGAAACAATCTCCCTCTGTCCTCCAGGGCTGCATGAGGACTGAATGAGTTGTGCGCCGAGCACCCGGCTCAGCGGCAGCATGCGGTGGTGCTCCATAAACGCTGGTCCCTCACTGCTGCGTCACTCGCCGTAGGCCGTGGCCTGGGACGCTCCATCTCCCGGGATTACCACCTTTCCCCGCCACTGCCCCAGTCTGTGCCCTGCACTCCATGGAAAGGGAGTCTGGCATGACCCTGCCCTCAGGGGCTCCCAGTGCACAGATGTATACACCTAGCGTGAATGCCAGTACTGGGGACTCTGAGCCGGAGCAAAGGAACCAGGTGGAAGGATGGGAGGCTTCCTGGAAGAAGTCGCAGATGAAGGAAGTCATGAACAAGGCTGAGTGAGTCCTGTAAGTGGTGTGCTTGATCTCCAAGCAGGACAGAGGGCTGGAGAAACATGGTGCTGAGGGCTCTGGGGACCGGGTGCCTCACTAGCAGAGCACAGGACAGAAGGTGCCGTTTGCAGCCGGGAACTGCTCTCTGATGGAGCGAGTAGCTAAGGTGGCCCCCTCAGCTAGGGGAACTGGCACCTGGGGACCCCCTCCCTGGTTATGAGCTCAACAGGCAGCTTTGGGCAGGGCTCGGCTAGACTCTGGGGTGCAAGCTAGCCCCTCTCCTCCTCCAGAGCTGAGTGAGCTCCCCGGTGTCTCTATATCCAACCTGCCCTAGAGATTCCCAGTCCCCCACCTCCTGGACTGGAGCCAGTTCTAGGAGGAAACCACTGAGCACAGACTCAATTCACTTGTAAACGACACATCACCTGGGAGCCTACACAGGCACACAGGCGGGTGGACCCCGAGCAGACCAGAGAGAGAACGAGAACTGGACAGAGCTGCCCCTTCCTAAAGGCCCTGCCCAGCTCAGCATCTCACCAACCTGCCTCCTCTCTGGGCACTGGGGCCCAGCTAAGCGAGGAGGCGAGAAAGCACTGATAGCGTCCCTACCCGTTGTACTAAGTCCTTCTACCTTATGAGGCAGGAGTGGGTCTCTCCACTTGACAGAGAAGGAAACGGAGGCTCGGAGAGAGGGAGTTACTTGCCCAAGGCCACCCAGTTGGAGAGGGTCAGAGTACTGAGCCCTCGATCATGGAGTCACCCGAGTACTGAGCCCTCGGTCACCCAAGGCACTGGGTGTTGCTCTGCCCACTCCACGGATGGGAAAACTGAGGCTGGGAGGACCCATGTGACCTTGGGGCGCACAGTGAGTCAGTCCCTAAAGCCCATAGTCTTCAGTCACAAGGAGAGACTGGGGCGACAGTGGGAAGGGCAGAATGGGAGGATGTGGAATCAGGCCAGGCTGGATTCCAGGCCCGCCTCAGCCGCTTACAAGCTGTGTGCTGTTGAGCAAGGGACTCTCCCTCTCTGAGCCAGGCTACTGCTCCTGAAGGACAGGTGTGCTCCTAACCCCTCCCCTCCAGGGCTGTTGGAGGGTTGGGTAAGAGAAAGCTCCAGGCAGAGCCCCTGGCTCAGTGACTGATCTCCTGTGGGTCCTTCCGGCTGGAGACCGTTTCTCC